TGATTATCTGAGTAATAATATGCTAAATCTAGATGTATTAAATACATAATAATCATCTGTATATCCAGAGTGAAAATAATCTTCTTGAAAATATAATACAAAGCTAATTTGTTATACAGATAGTGCAAAATGAAGATCTAAGTTAAAGAGATCTAAAGAAAGATAATCCAATCAAAATTGTTATATTTACTAAGATATGATCAGAAACTTGAATATCAGTTTTTTTTAAATTTTTTATTAAGTATATAAATTGGTTGTTTTCTGTTTTTTTGAATAATTTGCTTTAATTCTTGTTAGACTTTGTAATCTAAAGATTCAGAATGATCACTTCTTGATATTATTTACATACTTTTTTCATTATAATAATTATGAATTATTTATATAATTATTATTTTAGAAAAATTCAATATTTTATTAATATTATTTTTAGAAAAATCAGCTTTATAAAAGCTAATAATTTGGTAATGTTTACTTTTAGTCAAGTCAAAATTCTTAGACATCTTGATATTTTGTTAATTTAACAAACTTGATATATATTTATATATTGATCAACTTGAGTTTTTATTTTATAAATAATTGATAATTAACAGATATGACATATAATTTGTTTTATATATATACAAGAATCTAGACTATAATATATAAAAAATTTGTAATAAATTATTATATATTGTATTCTACAAACTAAAATTAAAGAGGGTTTATTACTTATTCAGATAAGTATATTTAGAAAAATATAACTTTATTTTAATATTTTTAATTTTTTTTCTTTTCTTTTAATTATTTATATTTATATTATATTATTCTTTTTAAATAATTTTTTTAATTTTTTCTTTTATTATAAATATAGAATATTAGATAATTTTATTTTATGTTTGCTTATTTTTTTAGTAATTTTTTATTTTATTTAGTTTTTTTTATTATTATATTAAAAAATAATATAAGAAAATATATTATTAATGAAAAGAATTTTAATAATAAATAAATTAAATATAAAATTATATAGTCAAAAACTTTGAAATATGAAATTATTCAAGTTTTAAAAATTAGAAAAATAATAAGTATTAAAAATAAAAATATATTTTTATTAGTATTAGATTTTATTTTTGTTAGATTAATCAAAAACTTATATATTTCTATTTCATTAGCTTCAGAATTAAAGAGATTAGTAGAATTTTTGATTAGTCTTAGTTTAATATATGAATAATTTCTTGAATGATATACTATATTATTAAACTTCTTTGTAAATTTGACAAATACAAAGCAATTCTTGATATATTGAATTTATATGCAAAAATTTCAAAAACTTCATTATATATTATATTAAGCAGAATTATTATATGATTTATATTATGATTTTAATTAGATTTTATTATATTAAAGAGTCATTATATTAAGAGTATCTTTGCAATAACTTTTTATTTTTCTGCTACTTGTATTTGTATACATAACAGAATTATTCTCAAAATAGTTTCAAACAGATATTTTATTATTTTACTTTATTATAATTCATCTCAAATGTTACTACAAGTGGCTCTTGATATAAGAAAGTCACTTACAGTATGTAAAAAAACTGGAATTTTTAATTTTCTCCATAAATATTTATTTAAATAACATAAAAATTTAAATATATATACTTGAAAATATGATAAGCAACTTTATTTAAGACTACTTGAACACTTATCTTATTAAAATTTTTTATAATTTATATTTTTAAAATTAAAATATTTTAATAATAAGAAAACTTAAATAAATTATTATAAATAAATTTGATTATTATTTTGCAAATTAATCTTAAGTAAGCTTGTTTACTAGATTATCAAGTATATATTTAAAATTTTTATAATTTAAATAAATAGCAAATAAAAAAAAAGATTAAAGAAGTATTTTAATTTTTTATAATCAATTTTTTCAAAAAAAATTTTAAAATTTTATTAAGATAAGCTATTAAATACTTTTAAGTAAACTTTTTCACTAGGTTATCAAACATATATATTTAAAATTTTATATGAATTAAATAAATATTCATTGAATATAACTAAAATTAAAATTTACGGTTTTTTTGACACACTGTATATCAAGAGCTTCTTATAGATTTCTTTATCAAGGTTGACTGTATAGATTCCATCATTTTCGCTCATCCAAAATATAAAGAAACATACAATTATCGTATTATTACCGTTAAGCTTACCATTACAATCTTCCAATTGTTAGATTTCCATTCTAGTTCTCATAACGATAACGGTTATTACCTCATTCTAAATGTACCTTCTATAATGCATACACTATCTAAAGCATGTACGGCTCAGTCTCAAATTATAAGACCCTCAATGCGCGAATTGTCATTATTTTCATATGGTCCCAAGGGGATGCATTTAGAGTATATGTATTAGCATTTAAATGTATAAATACTATACAAAGAAAAAGATATATCTATAGCATGCAATCGTAAAAGCATTTCCAATCATATATTACTTAACACTGGTAAACTCGAATATAATGCAGAGTTTTTAAATCTCATAATTTCATATTACGATTAGCCAAATTTTTAAGAAAATCCAAATTTATTATAGAACAGGATCTATACATAAACCATTATTCATTGTATGATTCAAAATTTACATGAAATCTACGTTTATAGAAATAGAATTAGTAGACGTCCTGAACGGCAACATTAGTGCCACCGTTACCACCGTTACCGCCATTACCACCCACGGCGGGGCCGCCGACAGCGACGGCTGGGCCGCCGCTGCTGTATGGATACCAATATCCCCAATATCCTCCAGATCCAGAAGTGGCGGTGGCGCTTCCTCCAACGGCATTACCACCGTTACCACCATTACCACCGTTTGCTGATTGTTTAATGGTATCAAAAACAGGAGCCGCGTCAGATAAAGTGAAGAGACTGATTGCTAAGATCAAGGTGATCGTAACGAATTGTTTCATTGTTATTTTTTTATTGATTTTTGAAAATTTATATTTATTATTCGCGTTTGTTTTTCGAATTTTTGTTCGTTAATTCAAAATGAATAATGAAGATTTGGAGAGAACAAAGCGCTTCTTTTTATAAGAAAAAATTTGAATATATCAAAAATACATAACGATAATATGCAAAAACAATGCATTTTCTAGACAAATTCAGACTTGTAAGATGTCGGTGTTGCATTATCACTTACAATAATGATTTTTCCCTTATTTAGTTAAAGTTTCAAAAATTTTCACTTTGAATTTCTTAATACATGTATTATAAAAATAACAATAACGATAAAAATAACTTTATCGTTATACAAAATTTCATAGTGAAGATTTTTTGTATGGTTGGTGTAATGAAGACTTGACTAAAATAGAAAAATCATTGTTGTAAATGTTGTATGTATGTGCTAATATTAATATTTTTTTTCTCATAAAAAAATTCACTCCACAAATCCTTTATTCAACAAAAAATTCGAAAAAACCAATGACTACGTTAAAAAAAATTCGTTGCGATCATTTTGATCTTGGCAATCTCTCTTTTCGCTTTAACTGATGCTCTTCCTTTCACCTATGATCAGAACGGCCAATCCATCACAACTGAATCAAAGTCTGCCAATGCACAACAAGACAACCAATCCGTTTCAGTTGGAGGAGACTCCAGCTCCTATACCGGGAATTATGGTCAAGCCGCCGCCGTCGGTGGTGTGTAACAATGAATGCATTTACATTATTTTAATAATATTCAAGAGATTTTAAATATATTTATTTCACAAACTTTAATTCTTAATGTATATATATAGAACAAATTATTATGACAGCGAATTTGTATCAAAATAATCTGCACACAAATGAACTACAAGATCATTTAAAGTTTTGACTTGTTCGTATAATTCATATTCATCGGAATGACTATATGCAAATTTTCATAATATCACACCTCAATGAGAATTCTTTCTTAAGGTGATCCCGTTCTAATCATTCTGGCGGTCGGTGAAAATGCTTGATATGCTGTTTACCTTGCACTTCTATAGGAAATCTGGTCGACGAATTTTTGAAGGTGCCTAGTTATTGTGTTGGCAAAAGGATACATCCATTATAAAGTGGAGAGTGAAAAATTTTGGAAATTTCAAGTGATTTTAATCAATGATCAATGATCGTATTTACAAGCGGTTTGATTTATTTAAGAGTATAATAGCAAAAGATTCAAGATAGATATAATCAATAATACATTCTTTCGCCCATTGAATCTGATAATTTCCTTACATCTCGTTTTCATTGAAAATTCTTTATAACTTTATCATCAATTAATTCTCATTCCTCGATCATAAACATCTCCAAATTTCATGGTTTTCTCTTTTCTACGTTTCGTTTGACAAGACTCCATAAATTTTTTATCGGATTAAGGTCAGGACTATTGGATGGCCAATCCATTATGATTGGGATGTTCTCCAGAGGAAATTCTTGGCCAAACAGTTTGTGTCTCTGGTCGTTATCTAGTTGAAGTCACCAATTATCTCCCATCATTGCTGCGACCTCAGGAAGTTGTTCTTCGAGGATTCTTACATAAAATTTGGCATTCATCTTGCCCACGAAGCAATAAGACTAGTTTTGCCATAGCTAGAAATCCCATCCCATGTATGAATTTTTTGTGCTTGTATCATTGAGTTATTGTGCTTCTGAACAATTAGAATGATGTTTCGTCTGAAAATAAGGTCCGTGAACAATTGTTGTTGAGGTGATTTTTGACCCATTCGACTCTTCTTCGTATGTGCTCAACTGTGAGCATAGGTGTTGCAAGTAAGAGGGAATTATGGCAAGGATGCTTTCCAACTGAATGCCTAGAAACTGTATACCTTTTTCTGATAATTTTTCCGCAATCCGTTGCTTGATTTCGTCCTATAACCTTGGATGAATTATTATCAATTTTTTTCGGACAACCTGAACCCGGTTTTTGAGTCACGTTGCTTGTTTCTTCCAATTTTTTTAGGTTGCAACATATTGTGTAGTGAACAATGTTGGTGTGACGACCCACAAGTGTAAAATTATTTGCTTTTGCTGTTTTTTTGTTAATAGCATTAATTTTTAGTCATTTCTCTCAAAAACAAGGTTTTGTAAAAAAAAGTTATACAGTACATGTATCATTCATTATTCGGGCGTACAAAGTTTGAAAAATGTGTAATTGTTAATAACGATAAGCCACAGCATATGAAAAAATGGTAGCCGGATGTATTTAATGGGCAACACATGATATCGGATTCTGATTACTGGGATTGATTAATTATGCGTATCGGTATTTATTTACCTTCCAATCCAATTAATTTTTGGAGTTATCGCCGATCAATTATTTGTGAAAATAGAGTGCTTATAGCTATCTTTGCAATCAACTATCCAAATTATTTGATCTTTTTTTATTAGATTCATCTTGATTTCTACTTCAGAAAATATATTTTTTCGTGCTTTTCAAATAAATCATTTTTGAATAATGCCTAAAAGTGTAGAGCCTACAGATTTTGAATATGAAAAAGTTGTTAGTTTATGAAAAGTCAAAAAAATTAAATGCAATCAGTAAAATATTAAGACACTAAATTCATAATTTGTTAATGTAATAAAAACAAAAAAATTCAAAACAAATCACTTCAACACCAAGTTCTGAAATATTAAATGACTATGTAAAATATATATATGAACAAATTGATCTATAGCTCATTAATGAAAAACTATCTAGAAAATATAAATAATCACCATATAGAGCAGGTTTTGCTGACTCTAATTACATTTATATAAATTTTATTTTAAAGTTAATATTTAAATTCTCTCAAAAATATCAGTTAAATTGAATAAATCAATTTCATTCAAATGGGAATCACAAATTTGCTAGTGACCAATTTTTATGAAAAAGATATATTCTGAAAGCTTATAATTTGAGGGTTCTAATAAAAAAATAATTGTAAAATTTGAATCTTTGATTGTGCCATGTGAAATTCAATAATTTCAAATTATATACATGAGCAAATTAATTATAACTTGTGAATGAAAAGAAATCTAGAAAACATAAATATACCATTAAATAGAGCAGGTTTTGCTTATCTAATCATATAAATTTTATTTAAAGTCAATATGTAAATTCTCTCAAAAATATCAGTTGAAGTTAGTAAACACAAAAGTAATCAATTTCATTCAAATGAGAATTACAGAAGTTCTTGTAGACCAATTTTTATTAAAAATATATATTCTAAAAGCTTAAAATTTGGGGGGTTCTAATAAAAAATAATTATAAATTTGAAACATTAGTTGTGCTATAAATCGCATTTAATTATTATTGATCATTTTATAAATGATACTTTTGTCTAGTGTATGTACGTGCACGTGATTTTTTAGAGATAAATTAATTGGGAAGCCTGCGGAAAAATTCATATATCATGATAACGGTATAAAATGAATTTTGAGACAAAACGGAATAAAATCGGTATAAAGAGAACTTTTATAGATATACACACCCCTACAATATATTACCGGAAATCCTAAAAAATAATCTGTCACTTTGAAATCTAATATCTCAAAATTCAATGATCCAATTTAAATGAAAATACTCCATTAAATTTGTCGCGACGCCACAAATCTTATGATAATATCTTTATTTAAATGAGATCACTAGATTACAAGAAATTGGGTTCCAAAATGTTAGTTTCATTTTTGAAATTTCCGGTAATATATTGTAGAGGTGTGTATATGTTATATAAAAAATTATGAATGATTATTCCATTCCATTTTATGAACAAAAATTACGATCTTTTTTATCGTTTTTCTTATGAAAAATGCCTAAAAACGAATAACAGCATATTAGTCGTGCACAAGAAATTTTTGTTATGATAATGGAGTTTTATTACATGTATGCCGGTTTGTAGTCAATTAAATGGGAATATAAAATTACTATTATTTCGCATATTAATACAACAGCAAGTCATAAAATCATAATCTTGTACAAATAACACAACAAACGTTAAATTTAACACCTAATAATAATGTAAATATGACACTTTTATAAGAATGGACTTTATTTAAATGAAATTGAGTTGATTTTTGAACCAAATTTCATATCGATTATATTAGCTACCAATTTCATCATGTAATGTAGAACGTAGTTTTAGTGCTTATAACAAAATTTTAGATTACACTTATGATATGAATTAATATTATATGATTAATAAAATCCAATTTCGGAATTTTTCAAAATCACAACGGGATTTTTCCGGATCCCTGTGCCTACGACAGTGCTAAATCAATCGTTCCGGTGCCTGATAAAAATTTCCTAATCTGGAATCTGTAATGCGCAAATTTTGATCGACCCAGAAGCCAAAAATTCACATGATGAAAAAAGTATATTACATAAATCCTTCTTGGCCTATTAATTAAAAATGTCGGGAAGTAATTCTGTCTCCACATCCAATAGCTTACCCTTATCCCTTTCTCTAATAAAAGTTCAGAATCCAAATTAGAAAATTTTAAATTTGGTTCAGTAAAACTGATCTCAAATCGCAACGTTAAGGTTAGATATCACAATAATTGTATACATAAAATTTTGCAAGGAACATTTTTTGCAAATAGTTTCATAGACAAAATTTCAATATACAAGCTATTTTTCAAAATAAAAATTTGATTCAATAAAATGACTTGATTTGCGATACCGATTATAAATTTTCTACACTGACCCGGAATGATCACTTGGTTCAGCACTATCCCTAAGCAGTATCCGCAGGTTTTCCGTAAACTAATCGTCAATGTGTTCTAACAAAAATATTTCTTCTTAGATCATAACCATAATCCTAAATATCACACCCTCGGGAACAACAGCAAGTGACTTTAAAAATGTTGTGACTGTGTAGAGGTCATGCTTTATAATGTCTGAAAAAGGTGTATACATGTATATTGTATGTGATCCTTTAATTACATTATTTATATAGTGCAGAACCCGCTCGGACATTGGTCTGCATCGGTCAAGGCATGTACGAGTCAAATTTTTTGAGGAGCAAGGAATAAATACTAATAGCATTTAAGATTCTGGTTAGGCCAAGTCTAGGATCGGAGTTACTGTAAGCTTATATCGCATATAAGAATTTCGAAGGAAGTGAGTTTTCATACATAGCATAGCAAAAACTTTTTTTTGAATTTTTCATTCACATTAATCTTGCGATTGGTTGGTTATCCCGACCATCCATTGTGTGAAGTTTATCGTTATTATTATGTGATAATCACTTACAATATCTGGTTTGAAAGCTATCTCTTTACTACATCAAATGAATTTTCTAATCAAGATACAGTCAGTGACAAAAAAACTTAATTTAGAACGTCCTATTACAATTTTACGCAGATCGCATTAAAACACATATTGTTTAAAAGCTCGAAAGCAGTAGATTTTATTATTAAAAATTTAATACGGAATTCTTTCGCCTTTATTTTTCAATAATTAATTGACAACGGCGTAGCATTGAATTTATTAAATTTTTTAAGGTATCATTTGGCAATGAATTCCATTCCTCCATTATAAATTGTTCCAATTTATTTAAATTTTGTGGCATTCGTTTTTCTACTTCACGTTTAACAATTGCCCATAGGTTTTCGATAGGATTTAGGTCCGGACTCGATGACGGCCAATCGATAACTTCGGGTACATTTTCCGCAAGAAACTTCTTAGCTTTACCGCTTGTATGCTTAGGATCGTTATCTGGCTGGAAACGTCACATTCTCCCAAGCATCTTTTTAATTTCCCCGACATGTTGCTGTAAAATTTCGACGTAAAAGTCAGCGTTCATAATACCCTGAAAGCAGAATAAACGAGTTTTTCCCTTCGCGCAGAAGCCACCCCATGCGAAAATTTTT